CGTCGGATTAGCAGTTTCGTGTCACTTGGAAGAAAAGGCCAAATCGACCTTTAAAAAGCTTGACGTGGTCAGCAGAGCTGGAGAGTATTTCATGCCGGCACACACCCTTCAATTTACAAGGCGCTGCTTCGGCCACACATGGAGTTAATGGAGTTCCCATCTCTGGGCCGGGGTTCCCTAGTGCCAGCTCCTTCCATTAACCGTATGAAGCGCAGAGCGGCTCGAATCGTCAAAAACCAAGTACTCTCCGATCGGGTCGATGCACTGGCGCTGCGAAGAGATGTTGCATCTCTTTGCATTTTCTGTCGCATCTACCGCGGGGAGTGGTCTGAAAAATTGTTTGGATTAATTCCAGCTCCCAATATTCTCGAACGCCCATCGCGAACAACTCACGATACCATCAACACCATCTGAATGCTTGGCGCTCCACCACTATAAGTTTTACTAGGAGTTTTCTTCCTCGTACGACCCCTCTGTGGGATCGTTTACCGCCGGCGATTTTTCCGGACCGATACGACTTAGGGACCTTCGAGAAAAGAGCTTACTCCTTTCTAAACGGGAGGCAACGCACCTGCAATTCCCCTGGTGGTGCAGTTGTTCATGGGCAGCGGTAGTCACTTTCCATCAGCTGAGCCGCATGCTTGTTTGTCTCCTCTTCTATAAAAAAGGTTTTTATTCCCCTGCAAAATTACAAAACATCCAAGGTCAGGAAGAACAAGGTGTAAACTGATCTTAAAAATTCCATTATATTCCCTAGATACTAATGAAAGCATGTCAAAGAGTTGTAATTACGTAATCAGTTGTGCTGCGAGGGTACACATTAATCTCCTCAGATTTATCCCAATATTGATTAGTGGTATACTGCCATTTATTAGAAGTCGTGTTTTTCTGGACTTACTCATAGTCGTCTCTTGTGATTTCCGTGGAACCATTGTGTAGAATTCTCGTACGATATCATCATACTATATTAAAGTTGGGTACAGTTCCAAAAACAAACAAGGCAAATATAAATATGAAAGTATATTTTATTTTATTATAATATTACAGGAAAGTTTAACATCTATTTCGGGCATTTTCATTTATAATTGCATTTTCTAAAATTGATCAAAGTAGTAATATCTAAATCGATCGATATGAGATATATCAGTTTCGGAATCATTTTTTTAATGATGTTTTCAGTGTCAAAGGGGTGTCCCTTTGTCTTTTTGCACTTCAGTAACGAGAGCATCCACGACTTCTTCTGCCACCAGGGCGGCACCACTTACAGGTTTCATAGCGGGAAAGTAATTTAGTTCGAAAAATGTAAAGGTTAATGTTTGTTTCGTTATACAAACCACAGTTATTCATACACAAAAAATTAGAAAAATTTAAAAAAATGTGAAAAAAAATTAAAGGGCAAACCACTTAGGCATTGTTTTGTGTATTAATATAATACTCCAGAAAATGAAACTATTATAGAAACAGAAAATAACTTATCAGAAAGCTATCTCAAACAATAAATGCTACCAATGTTCGTGCGGTTGTTTATTTTATCATAGAATAGACATAGGTAGAATGACCCGTAGGTAATAGTAGATGTCTTTGTTAAATAGGTAAATTATATTGAGAACAATATTTAAATTTTGTCATTTAATTTGTATAATGATTTCTTAAATTTACCAACACTACACATTGAATAAAACTATTATTTACGGATTTTATTGCGATTAATTACTTTAATTTATTTTTATTATTATCCCGACGTTTCACCTTACCACCTACCGCTACCATCTGCTTGGGATCCTATAATTAACAAAATTAAACCCAAACCCAAGCATACCACTGCAAGACTTCATGATACTATAAGCTCGTTTTGCGTAAATCGGACCAAAAATTAATATTAAAAAAACTGAAGGTAGCCGGACTAACTATGACATTGGGGCGTCAAACATCTCAGTCCCCCCGTTACCATGGGTGCTGTAAAGCACCCGAAACGTCGGGATAATAATAAAAATAAATTAAAGTAATTAAACGCGATAAAATCCGTAAATAATAGTTTTATTCATTTATTTTGTATATAATATTTGCTTATTTAATATAATATTACATGATATTATATCACAATTACATTTTAATGATATTTTTATCTAAATATTTTAAAAGGTAGCTAAGTCAAATATAAAAAACATACTAAATGTATGTTTAACAAAACTTATTAACACAACATTTAAATTACAAATATATTTATTAAAATTAAAATAAGTCGTTCATAAATGCTGGGCACGCGAGAGTTAAAAATGGACGAATTTATACCACTTTGACTTTGATGTGGAAACCTAAAAATAAAATAATAGAATAATAAGCAGATTAAAACATGAAAAATTTTGCAATTGTTATAACTTATATATGTTTCTACAAAAAAATGTGTATAATAATATATTCGTCCTATACTTAAGTACTCACAGAAATGTCGCATCTGAACATATTAATTTAATAATCTATATTTCCTGACACAAGATGGCGTCTTAGGAATAATTTGTTTTATTATTAATACATTATACTTTTTTATTGATTAAGTATCTTATTAACGAATGAAAAGTAATTCCTTGGTTTTTACTGACATTTCTTGAATTATTCGTGCAATATCTAAGTACATACGACGGCATATTTTTATGAAGAGATTTTTTTTTAATCAAGACAACATATGTGATAACTCTATAAGCGCCCAGCGAGTGACTGATTAAAGTGCAGTGTATGCATAGCAGTTGAGTGGAACAGAGTAGCTGAATGCAGTGCCGCCTCTAGTACGAAGTACATAATAGCTCAATGATAGAAAACTTACTTCTTAACTAACTGCCATTTTGTAATAATAAACTTCACATCAGTGTCAACTAGCGACACCTGGTGAGCGGAAAATTATTATTCCCTCTTTTTAGTAGTATGGAGTGTAAAAGTAATGAGTACCAACTCCCATAGACTACTATATAACACACGGTCGTAACGGACACCGCCGGGACGCTTTTTAATAACTTCTTCGTGACAAAATGTATTTCCTAACGGACTATACTTTACTGGGTGGTAATTTCACACAAAACACTGAAATAAATAAATAAATTATCTACTGCCGAGTAATCGACATATTAAATTCCACTCGGTTAATTTTACACTCAGCTTCGAGTTTATCGGTCATCGCTTCTCATAAACCATCCCCCTCCCCCCACCGGAAAATAACCTTGATTCGCCATTGATTACTTGATCATTCATTGGTTGAGAGCAAAATTGTTGCCGTTATATAACTGTTGCTGGAGACCTCGCTGGCAGGACGACGGGATGCAGTGTTACTTGGCAGATAGTTGGCAAGTTGCCGATTAGCGAACGTGATCATCAATAATTAGAAAGAAAGAAAGAAAGAACCGTTTATTTGATAATCACACTTTACACACAATTTTTGAAATTTAAATATAAATTACAATGGACAAAGAATATGCATGCAGATGTGTAAGACTGCTTACGCATTAAAAATTATTTAATAAGCAGAACATGCATGATGTTAATTAAATAATGAAACAAAAAAAAAATTAAAAAAAGAATTTTAAGATAAAATGTGACATCAAATAGGTCTCCAACTCAATGCTGCAGAGGCAGCGCTGGTTTTCAGTTGGAACCTTGTGACTTCACTGACGAGTCGGTGTGTGAACCTCGAATTACGCGTAACTACAACTTATAGACTAATAGTAATTAGGCAGTGGGTTAAAGAGTAGTGCTAACGAACACAGTTAACACAGACATACTGTTAATATCAATATCAATATAAATGGTGTGTAGTACATACACTATACCTATACTTAACATAATACAACATATTTGGTTCTATGGGGAAGATAAAGCAAAGTAGCAATAAAATTTATGATTTTAGTACATATATAATTTATATTCTGTACTCAAAGGGACACGCCACGTTGCGAGACGAAGTAAAAAGTAAGATTAAAAATAAATAAATAATAAATGATCATTCATCACATATGTAACAGAAATAAACAATAATCAATAATATTTGAACATGGTGTTAAACAGTATGAATATTTATTACTATTTTGGGTTCTAAACGTAATTATATTACGTATTTAGAACTTGTTGTGCTAAGTAATAGAACTTTAGTTTGTTTTTGAAACTATTCAGTGTTTTTTGGGGAACGAATAGGTGGTGGTAGATCATTCCAACAGTGGGTTGCTGCAAATTTGAAACTACCTCGAAACGCAGCTGTGCGGTATCGAGTTGTTACAAGGGAATGAACAAAAGCTCTTGTATTATATTTATTTTGATCTCGGGCCCACTTTAGCTTTTGAAACAGGTTAAATAGCAGTTTACGTGTATGGACGGAATATTGAAAAGTTAACGATTATGACAGTAACCATACTATTGGCAGAAACTGAAACTTGGGTAGGGATTTATTCAATTTTGAATGTATCCATAAAGTATATGATAATATAAAAGACGTAAGTTTAAAAAGAAATAACAAAAACAATAATACACCTGATATTATTTGTCTTTCGGCTTCTTCGTCACCCTGCCAAATTCTTCCTGATTTGTGATCATCACTTTTGGCAGACAGAATAGCGATCACTATACCAGACGCCACACACATTTGGCGTTGTTCCCAGACACTGATCTGAGTATTTTACGTCCGGCGTAAATGGAATAGTTATAAGTTATAACGTCATTTATCAATAGTCATAACATTACTTTGCAATCTTCTATAGACGTGAAACTTACGACATCCATGAGATGTAACGGAGTGATGGGTTTACTTAGGCCATACATCTGTATATAATCTCTTAATAGCGGCCATTTTTACTGGACTTACGAGAGGACTCCAAATCATCAGTGGTGATGATTTTGCAGCAATTCTTTCTCCTTTCAGTAACTTAAATTAAGAACGTAATGTTATGCTAAGACCAGAGCACACAATTATTTCTTCGAGCAAATATCACAGCGAAGATGGTGTTCACAAACTTTTTTCCTCAATCCCAATTCGATTCTCTCTTCATACAGTCCACTGATGTAGATCCACTAACACTACGTTCATTTTGTTTCATGGCTTCCATAAGCCAATCATTGATTTTGCCACGTAACTGTAATTTTTGTACTTCTGTCAATTTTTTCATATACGGTAGAATGCTTTTGATGAATAAGTAATCCTCGTCTTTATTCAAACTGTTCGCACCGTCACTCTCACTCTCCAAACGTTTCTCCATTAACGACAGCTTTCTCCTTTTTATCTCCAACATCTTCTGACTGATGTTAGAACGTGTCCTTAATAAAAATAAAAAAAAAAATTCAAAAATTTAAAAAACACGAGCCGCTGTGGGACAGGCCTGGACTCTGCAGGCAAGACGGTGCGTGTAGCCGGGGCATAAAGAGTCTTGTGATGACGTAGAGCCCACAGGTGAATGCTGAGGTAGAGGTGACGGCACAGATTCAATCATTTCGGTGTCCAAATCATTGAGATAGCTATGCATGTCCGTGCTTTCGCTTTCCTGTGTGTTGGTCGCTTGACTGACATTTACACTACGAGTCGACGTTGCATGCAATAGTTCATCCCTTACAAATGACATCATATTGAAATACTGCCACGTAGATCCCCAATCATCAGATTCAATTGCAGGATATTTCTTAAGCTCTTTCCTATATTGATCTTTCGAATGTTTCCAACGATTTCTTAATATCTCCTCTGTAAAAAAAATAAAAACTTTCAATAATAAACGAAGATAGATAGGAAGAGGAGATGGGCAGTGGCAGCTTCCTGACAATAACTGAATAACAATTTTAAAAAAACCACGCCTGTGAAACGTGTCAACTATAACAAATGGGGAGTATTTGATATAGTAACCCCCCTAGCGTGCCGCTAGCGCTCGCTGTGAATTTCATAGTATCCGAGCAACCTGGGTTCCATCTCCGCCGGCATCAATTAAATTGTGAATTGCAATTTTAAGTGCTGATTTACCTATATATTATAATAATTATTAATAAAGCTTGCTATATATATAGCCATATAGGTGCCGCCTTTAGGTCCGGTCAGCCTATCATTTCTTACTAAGGTATAATTAGCTATTTTGGGATCGCTCAAACTAGGTTTCAAGAAGGTCTCTTGCACTAGCATGATTGTCGCGTAAAAAATACATGATCTCTTCCTTTTGATCTCTGATACCGTTTGCATTAAAGAACGCGACAGTCAGAGACCTAGGCTTGGTTCAACCTATAGGTCGTACTTCCATTTTAATTACGAAAGAAGTTCGTTTAGGCGCGCTGGAACGAGCCTATCGCTTGGATAAGATTGACTTGCTCAATGGTAGCATTGAGCCCATCTTGAATAGACTTGGCTTCGCGAAGTTTGCGGGCTAAGGTTGTGACTTCGGCCACATTTATAATGCTGGCGAAGTTGAACACTAACGAAAGGTCAGTTTCAATGTTTGACGGTGCCTGAGGGGTTTGGGCTTCTAGGCCTGGCGATGAGGCACTGTCCGTGAGGCGGCCGCGCTGACAATCGCCGGGGGCTTAACCCATGCGTTGGGTTTAGGTGCTGAAGGCACCGGAGGACTTGGGCCTTGCCCGGAAGTCCGTTCAACGGGGGCGGGCTTGGCTGTAGCCTGGACGGTCGCGGGTTGCGGCACCGAAGTTGGTGCGACTGATGAGGCAGAATGCCGTGGGCATTGCTGCCCCATACCCTATTATAGGGGCTATTTAAGTGATAATTAGGCGCTAAGATTAAAAATTAGGCGCTCTAAAATTTTCACCGCAACGAACTGTTGAAATTTGCGTTGCTGGCGAAACGTATCTCTAGCAACGCGATGACAATTTTAGCAGTTTTATAAAAATATACCAATCTTGATCTGTCTCCACTCTTTAGTTTCATATTCAGTGCTGTCATGGACGTGTTTAACAAAGCACACAGAAGGCATAGGTACTACCGCTGGATAGAATGTATGACATATGTAATTGCATACCTTCGTTGGCCTTGAAAAGAGCTGTTCGGGTTTGCTTGAGCGAAAGAAAAAGATATTTACATACAATACAATACATGAACAAAAGAAAAGCATGAACAAAGCACAAACAAACTATGTACAAAATTAAAAATTATTATATAAGTATTCTATGAAAGCGTCGTCTATCTCGCGCCGTTATGCAAGCGACCATATATTTTTGTAATTTTTGTATATGTGACTCATATATCTTTCCCTCATAGCGGGACCATAAACTTTGATGGTTTTAAAAATGAAATACGTGTTTTTGGAATACTTAATGATCAAAAGAGGAAATGAAAACTTCTCTTTTATACAGTTTCGTGAGCTGACTGTATATATATATATAAATTTTAACGGCGTCAAAAATGTGAAGGTTCTCAATACCAGGCGAGGGTTCTCAATACCATTCTTTTTTTTTCTATGTATGTTACGCGATATCTTCGCAGATAAAGAACCAATTTTAATGACTCTTTTTTTCTTAAAATATAATTACTCTACTACTCTTTATTGAAATATAATTAGTTCTTGTTATTACATGAGCTATGAGATTGTGATACTCGTTAAGTAAAATGTCGTCGAAATAGTACCTAACATAAAACTTAATTCCCCATTTTTTCAAAATTATTACTTAAAGCTTATTCGGAACCACCCCTAAAATATAATAATAATAATAATAATGTGAATAACAACCATTCATAGACACGCAAATTTAAGGAAGAGAAACTTACATTGCACATTTATTGACTACCGTAAGTCAGTAAGTAATTACAAGTACTTGCCGGAAGCAGTGCTCGAAAATGATCGCGCCAGGTTCTACTGGGACCCGGCCATCATCACAGACAGGACTATTCTTGCGAATAAGCCTGATATTGAGCTGATGGGCCGGGCACAGTCAAGGATATTTTTGGTCGACACTACCATTCCGTGCGACGAGAACCTCGTGAAAGCCGAAACAGATAAGCAACCAAATATCTGGACCTGGCTCACGAGGTGACCGACATGTGGGGTGGTCTGCCGACCGAAATTATTTCTGTAGTCGTCTTTGCAAACGGGCTAATCCCAGTCAGCCTCTCGGGTCATCTGAGGCGGCTGGGACTACGTGGCGGACCGCTCCAGGCTCAAATGGAGAAGACGGTGCTCCTCGATACCGCCCGCATCGTCCGCCGGTTTCTTTCCCTTTCCCCCTAACCCTCGGCCGTTTGGTCTCCCCTGCCGAGGGCCTCCATCTGGTTGGGCTTTTATTTATTTATGTATTTTTATATTTTTTTGATATTTATGTAAGTATATTTATCTTTTCATTTCCATTTATAATTATATATTTATAGAACCCAACCAGATGAGAAAACTATATACCCTATAGTACAACTATATACTAGATACCCCCCTAATAATAATGTCCTCCAGACCGAATTTTCGGCCACGGCGGCCTGCCTCAACGGAGGCTAGCCATCGGCGCAGGACAGGATTATAGTGCCCAAGTGAATCCAAGTGCACTCTCTATTCCCTCGCTCTCATAATCCGATGGGACGGTAAACCGACACGACCGGAGAGAGATCAGGTGCGGGACCAACGGCTTAACGTGCTTTCCGAGGCACGGGGGTGAGACACCGCCAACTTCCTGACTTCGGGTACCTACTGAAAACTTCTTGACGGAAAAACTCAATAATATTTTTTTTGGCTCGACACGGGATTTGAACCCAGTATCTCATGATCAACAGTCACACAACTACAACCACTAGACCAACGAGGCAAAATATAATATATTCAATAAAAATATACCAAAAATATTTGTCAAAATCGGTAAACAGTTTACGAAGATATCACGTAATATACCATAAAAACGCAGAGTATAAAGCCAAACTACTTTTATGGATTTGGAATAAAATTAATTTTACGGATTTTTATCTCATTTAATTTTAACTAGGTTGTTTTATTCTACTCCTTTTCAGCAGATTTCAAAGGAGGTGGAGACTTTTGAAGTCAGCACAAAAAAAAACAAAAAGGGGGATCTCATACTTATCTACAAGCAGTGGTGTTGAGAAGTTGACTCATCGCACAGCATGACATATATACGCAGTAGAAATAACTTTAACTTCGCACAGCATTTACGGACGGGAATCGAGCGCTGAGAGAGCAAGCCTTCACAATCATGCTCCGATTCGCGGACCGTTGGGGTAAGATTTAGCAGCTCTAACCCATCACTGTTTCCTGTGTAGAAACGGACCCCCCGCTTTCTTTTAGTGAACATGTCTTATATATGCTACGGAAGCAAAAAATTTTAATAGCGTGAGCCAGAACATGGACTTAATAGGGTAGAAACATTGTGAAAAATAAATCGCAACAAAGGTTAATTTTTTTACAATAATATTGTGAATGATTTTGTTTTACGTTTATTAACTTTAATAATTGTGATTGAATTTTGTTTTAGATAAAAATTCTTAACTATTCTTTATTACTTATTATTTCTTCCTCTCAGTAAGTTCAAGATGTTTCTTAAATGCTATACCGTCATAAATTATAAGATTTAGGCAGTTTCAAATAAAAATAAATAACTTAAAACTTTTACAGGCTCGAAACATATTTTTTTAAGTATTTTTATTATAAAGAATATTAATTACGGAATAGTTACAGGCTTTGAGGTATTCCATTTCAGCCTTCAGATGTAACAATGTTCCTGTAGCCTTTTTTGTTTGATGTATTCAAAAAAGAAATCAAAAAATGTTATCTATTAATCTTATCTACAAATGTAAATAATATACATCAGGTGAACTGTGTGCTCGTTTGTCATTCTTATTCTATAAAAAAAACTCAGTCCCAACGAGCGACATCTGGTGAGCGGAAGATTATTAGCCATCGTTATAATAATATTATTAATATTAATATTAATTTCATTATTATGTATAAATGACAATCATTGAATCATTAATGCAAAAACCATATTTTAATATCTATAAGCGGACGAAGGGAGCATAGTCCGCAATATGGTGTCAATAAATGTTCAGGTGGACAAGATGCACGTTTCGCATCTTTAATGACCAGTGAAATCGGACTGGATTGAATTACCGGTTCTTTGATACACCATGCCTAGGACGAACCATTGTTAAATTTTCACCCATAATAAATTTTATCATAATAATAAATAGGCTAAGCCTTGGTTATTCGGTGATATATAGTAATTCTGTGATACTTGTTGAACATTTTATAACGGAGTTACCCGGTTGTTTCCGTGGTTTTACACCCCACCAATTGATGGCGCTAACAATGTA